TTAATCTGCTCTAGTAGTGAAATGCTAAGAGCAACAGAGACGCTTGCAGCCTGGCATAAAAAAAAAAAGCGATTCTTTTTTTCTATTTATTTTCCTCGAAACGTAAACAAGCAATGCTTAGTCTGGCGGCGAGGCCAGTAAAGCATGGCGGGACGCCAGGCTTATAATACACTGGGGAAAACCCTGCAGTATATTTACATTTAGATACACAATTACATTACATTTCAGATACATAATTTCCTTTTGCAAATGCATAAACACAAAGCTTTAAACTTTTATAGCCACTTGAAAGAAACTTGGTGTGAATCAACTTTAAGCCGCAGGTGCGCTTTTATTTTGAAAGGAGCTTGTAAAGGAAGGCGCCGTAACGCCTTGTTGCATCGAGCACGTCACAATCGAGAGTGGGCTGGCTTTACCGCAGTTAAAAAAACTTATGAGACTGATGTGTGTGTTTTCATTCCCTCAAACTTAAATTTAAAATACTAGATATTTTTTAAATATTTTAATTAAAACGAACCTACATATTTTACATAGTTTTGTTTCTTCTCTCCAATAAAGAGCACATAAATTAATTTTGCTCAGGAGCTTATAATTCATGTGTTATGGTTTCATCCGGAAGTGTTGCACCCTGGCTCTCCACTGACAGGCTGGAGTTCAACTTCTGCCTCCATATGGAGAACTTGCAGCCATTAACGTCTCACTAAGCAGACTTTGAGGTTACCGGAGAACAGTGTGCTTATTTCAGCGGTTCCCTCCGAGCAGAGTCACAGCGGAGCGGCAGCAGAGCCCGGTCCCGCCCCCGCTGTCTGTCCATCAGTGTCACCGTCACATACTCGGTGCTGTACAGCCGTGCGCGACTTCTCGCTCCCGAGCGCTTCTTTTTTCTCCCTCCCACCTTTGCAGCTTCAGCACCGCGACAATGTCCGAATACTTCAGCCTGTCGGACTGCGACGTCATCGGCTTCGACCTGGACCACACGCTGTGCCGCTACCATCTGAAGGAGACCTCCAGGGTGAGTTCCGCTCTGCTGGTACATAACTGGACGGTGGCCGCGACGGTTCGACCTGTCCTCGCGCATTGTGCCGGAGAAATGCTCAGCGGTCAGCTTGCTCTGGCTCGTGCCCAAAGAGCAGGCTGCTGGGTGTGTGTCGGAGCGCTCTGTGCTTTGATATGTGTGCGTGGTGAAGCGACATTGCTGCAGTCACTGCGTGACTCACAGGTTGGAGCGTCGGCGTCTCGTGTATTGGGTGACTTTGAATCCCCCTTAGGCCGAGCTGGATATTTTGACTCCAGTGGAGAACAGCTGGACCATCGCAGGTTCTGTTGGTGGCCTGCGGTTTAACCAGGCCTGGGGTCCATTTTCACCCTGTTTCGCACAATTTTTCGTGCATCTTGTTTGCATGCTGTGGAAACACAATAATGCCAAATAACGACCTTCTGAACGGCATTCTTGTAAATGTACTCAATGCATATGATATAGAATTTGTATGATTATTTTTCCCTAAAAAGGATCATGTCGATAATGACTGTATAACACTGTATGCAAGCTCAGAATGTTATAAGTAGGTCTGGACTGGAGTTATCATGTATTTACTTTGAGACTTCTGCATATTGTTTTGCCCTTTAAACCCTCACATGAACAACTTCTTGGAATCAGGAAGGGCAGTGTGGTTTTCGTCCTGGTCGTGGAACACTGGACCAGCTCTACACCCTCAGCAGGGTCCTGGAGAGTGGATGGGAGTTCACCCAACTGGTCTACATGTGTTTTGTGGACTTTGAGTAGGTGTTTGACCGTGTCCTTCGGGGAACCCTGTGGGGGGTCTCCTGGAGTATGGGTTACCGGACCCTTTGATACGGGCTCGTTTTCGGTGAGGGTTGGACTCCGCCAAGGTTGCCCTTTGTCACTGATTCTGTTCATTACTTTCGTGGACAGAATTTCTAGGCACAGCCAACGTGTTGAGGGGATCCGTTTTGGTGTCCTCAGAATCGCATCTCTGCTTTTTGCGGATGATGTGGTCCTGTTGACTTCATC